CCGAAGAGCCAGACGAGCCAGAGGAGCCAGACGAGCCACCATTTCCATATCCTGGTGTAGGACCCGCAGGCACCGTGATCGTGACAACACTGGGCTGGCGCCCACCTTCAGCATAAGTGACAACATTGGGTCCTTCAGTAAGAGTCTGGACGACCTTTGATCCGCCATTCTGGGTCAGTGTAACCACACCACCAGCCGGAGCGGACGCCTGGGGAGCGCTAGCCGTGATGTAGATCGTGGAGACGACACCTCCGCGAGTGACTGGGATCATGTTCTTGCCTTGGCTCAGAGTCTTGACGGCTTCACCAGAGCCAGACCCGATGTCGATGACGTCTCCAGCGGTGGCGATGTTCCGAGGAGCGGAGGCTTCAGGGACGGCGGCTTCAGTCCGGGTGACTGTAACGTAGATGACCCGATCGCCTGAGCCAACGGCTACCACGTTGGGCCCTTCGCTTAGAGTGGCAACAGCGGTTTGCGAGCCGGCGGTGACAGTCACAACGCTAGGCTTTAGGGGGCGCTCGTAAATCGATGTCGGAATGCTTGCCACGTTGTCGACAGTGACTACATTCCGGCCTCGGGTGAGTGACATGACGCTTTGAATACCGCCTGGACCGGTGAGAGTCTGTTGTGCAAGTTAGCACGAACTCGTCGAACATATATTACTTCTATCTGGGACATCTTTGACAAGGAGGAGGGCCAGAGGCACAGTAAACTTACCACTACACTCGGACCGGCAGCAGAGTATGTGAGGAGTCCTTCGGCAGATGCAGGTGGCCCGGGAGGGGGTGCAGCTGGCGCGGTGACATAGACCGTTTGAATCAGAGGAGGTTGGATGACAGTTCCAGATTGGACAACGGTGACGGTTTGGGGATTTGCTTGAGTGACCGTAGTCATTAGACCACCATAGCCGGAGCCACATCCAGCGACCTATTCAAGTACTTAGTAAGTTGTACCACTCATACTTCCGGAATTGAGCCAGGAAGGGGTATCAGATCCTGGCTTCCAGAAACATAGAAGGAGGAGATGGACTCGACATACTGTGAGGGTTTCTATGGCGGTTTCAGTGACTGTCACTGTCTCAACTGATCCGGATACGCAAGGCGTGCATGTGGCCTCCGCAGCTGGTACTGTCACGGTGGACATAAGCTGTCTCCTGAAGCCCAAGAAGTCTCTGTAGCTGGTGTCTCGTTTCTGGGCGCTGTCTTTGGCTCTGGAAACATGTTAATCCTGTAGCCAATGCTTGCATTAGAGACCACTTACTCATGAATTGGACCGGCAATAACAGAAGCGAAAAGAGCGGCTAGCGCTACGGAAGTGAGGTCAGACCGCATGCTGAAATCAGTTTTTGAAAAGGAGTGGAAGAAAAGAAGGCTGATATCAAATCAACAAAGGGAAGGAAGAAAGCAAGGCGAGAACTGTAAGGAATGGACAGCGGTGAGGATACAAAAAACGAAGGACCGGAACGTCTTCTTATATGTAAAGTCATCTATCCCTTTGAATATATTAGAGAGAAGGGATCTGGCCCACCAGCGGCTTGGAATGATAGCAGTTTTTTTCCATCTGATCAGGATTCCTTGCTGGGGGGAAGCTTGAAAGTGGCCCGCTACCAGACTAGCACCGGTACCAAGACTAGCAGAGTCTGCGGAGGCGGTGACATAACTTACCCCATACACCTCTGTAAGCTCCCTCCAGAGTGTGTGAAACAAAATTTTGAGATGAACGGCGCAAGAAAAATGGGATGACAAGACGGGGCGAAGATCTGTACGTCCATAATAGATGATCTGCAGATCTCAAGTGGAAAGCTCAGGGGAAGAAAAGCTTGGGTACGTCATGCGTAAGAAGCACGGAGGACTTGCAAGTAGACATGGGGAGACCTAAGAAGGAGAATTGAGGCTGAAGTTTGGAGAATGTTTGGACGATGGATCTGACTCAGCTGCAGATATCAGAGGGAATTCCTGGTACGGACGGGACTATCTTGAGGCTGTACCGTCGAGGCTGAGTTCGAGTTGAATAGTTGGAAAACCTCCAGAACCACCAGCTCTCGCCACTTTCAACCTCATCTTCATTGCTCTACTTGTAACCTGGGAGACCTGAACCGATTGCTCGACCCATGTTGAAACTTATCAAGAGCAGATCTAGATTGAAATATTCGTCCGAACTCATGTAGAGTCTGGGCGACAAATCGTATCTTTGAGCCCAGACGGTTACGCCTGGCTCTTTCAAATGACGCGTGACAGAAACAATATCGAAGATGAGAGGAACTTAAGTGGAGAGCCAAAACCAAGGAAGAGGTTGTTGATCTAATCAGTTGCCGTCGCGCATATATATCGAGCCGAGATGTTTGGCCCGACCAAAGGGGCTTAAGCGAGACTCTGGCGCGATCTGTGTATCCGATTTGGGGGAGGCACCAAGGAGATTTTCGAGATGTACTTTTCCTTGTTTTCTGGGGTAGAGAGGGGCATGATTTGCACTCTTCCGGATGCTTATTGAAACTCTACGTGTTTTGCGGAGATGGGGGTGGCGTACGCAAGCAGACGTGGCGGATGAGGGCAATCGAGGCGGGATAAAGTCTTTCCGTATAATGTCGTATTGAGTTGAGGAGATATCGGAGATCATATCGGAGATCATATCGGAGATCATATTGGAGATCATGTCGGAAATCACTATCGAGAAAGAGTATATGGAACGAGGAAGCGAACGGGCCAGCTCGAAGTTGGAAAGCCCTGTTGGCTTCTTTACTCCATATTTCAACATCTGACCACGTGAGTGTCAACGTGACGCGCATCGACATCGAGGTTAAAAGAGTTTCAGGAGAGTGGCCACCCTTCTTCGACCGCCACAGGTCTTGCAATCAGCATTCGAGGTTTGCATATGACCCTAGCTCCCTCCCGACCTCGAGGTCGCCTACGAGATCACATGACTGATATGCTACCAGAACAACGGCCAGCTATACGGAGTAGGCCCTGCAGCAGGGGGTCCGATATTACTCTCAGGCGAAAAGATGTCGAACGCCGAGATGAATCACGATAATCAATCAATCGTCTATCGAAAGTATTTTATGATATTGTGAGCGGTGAAGAAGAACCATCATGTCGAGATACAATGAATGGCATCTCGAGACATACCCGAGGGGTCGACTGCGTTAAAAGGCTGTTATCGTGCAGCTGTTGAGGCCGGAGATCTGGTGCGATGAGGGCATTCTGGAGGCCAGGAAGCGAGATTCATGGCGATGGGATGTTAGCGTTGGCGATGAGATCCGCTCAACTGGCTCTTAGTTGTCTGAGAGTAGAGTCAGTGGAAGTGGTGGAAACTGATAAGCAACCCCGAACCCGGATCTCGCTCGGCTGTAGCTGCAGATCTCGATACAGAAGTACAACTTCAACGTACAGTACCGGTATGAGCAGTCGAATCATTCGAGATAGTGGAACCTGGGGGTCGGAACGAACGAAGTCAATCGTGCATTGAATCTTGGGGGAGGGGGATGGATGGTATCGAATCAGCTTGGTCGCGTCAACGGTCGCAGACTATTCTGTATCATACAGAGTATTATTGGTTGGTGCTACTTGCCTCCCATCTATGGGGTATTTCCGGTGCATCATCTGCACTAGATATCAAGGCTTGATCTCTAGCTTATTATATCGTGGCTTGCTGCCGTTGGACATTTTGGTCGCAAAGACGGCTGTGCAGTGGATACCCGGGCTATGTATGTGTATATGTATATGTATACATATATATATATACATATATATATACATATATATATTTAGTGGCCATCGAAAGATTGGTTACATTGGAAGCCGACGTTGCCTATCTGGATTGCTAGGAAACTGAAGCTTGACACAGATTGGCAGGCAGGCAGAGTACCACTATCTTCCGACTTACCTATTCCAATCAAGAAAGAAATCGCCATCTTGACGGCATCGCCGTTGCAGGTTCCCTTCGCGGAACCTCCGTTTCGTTTCAAGTCTGGTGGACGGAGCCGTTGGTGGCTTGTTGGATGGAAGGAAGTCCGTGGCCTGAGAATCCTCATCGTCGTCGGTCCGGTCCGCATTTCCCAAGGTCTTCCGTCCGCACCATATCGTAATCCTCGAATCAGATCACGGGAGTTTCGCCAATTATGGCCACCAAAGCCTCATGAAACGGCTTGAGCGCACCGGGGAGGGAATCTTGATAACCATATACCGATATCCAGATGGCGGGCTAGAGCAGGAGCTTTCCCCCGTCCCGGGCAACGGACCTTTGATCGACACTGGCGAGGCCCGGGCGGACCGATGTCAAATTCTTATTACTCAGAGAAATAGGTTTGTAGAAGTACTACGTAAATTGAAATGCCCGAGGAACTGGAAGATCGTAGGCTGCCCCTTTTTTCAGCTGCCCGGGCCGGATTCATCTTTGAGTTTCGGGGTGCAATCTGCATTGGTTTGCGAAGATTTGTCGGGCCGACGAACAGAAACTGGTAGGAGATCGCGGGAATGCGGCGAAACTCTAACGAGCCGCGTCGGATCTTCCGGGTAAAGAGGCCGTGAAAGTATGTTCTAAATGTGTAATTCATCGCAGTAATAGAATGCTAAGAGTTCTCGGATCATTGGGGATCTCGCCGAGGTTGATCGTCGATCGGAGGCATGAAACAAACAGGAATAGGGGGGGGGGGAAGGGGCTTAAGCGAGGACGGGAATGCGTGAGTGTGGGGGGTGGGTGGGTATTTTTATTTATTTTTCTGTCTATGACTTCGGCAGAGTAATGAATCAAGGGCCTGCAATACGGTACCGGTACCGTAGATACACTATCTAAACTGGACTGAAGATCCATGGAACCGGAAACCCAGGGAGCGCAAGATCTATCGAGCCAAATAGTAGTAGTAGTATCTGTTGAACCAAAGATCAACTGAATCGAACATCTATTGAACTGTAACCAACGCTAAAGCAACGGGAAGTGTGCAAGGCATCCAAAACGGGCGCCTTAGCTGACGTGCCATCAGACACATTTTGAGTTCAGGGTACATCCCGCGGGTGCGGATACCCCCTCTCTGGGTATCCAGATGAATTGAAATTGCTGTTTCAGAAAGTTCAAAAATGTAAACAGAAAAAAACCCATTCCGACTTCCGTCAACCTACAAGGCGAGTCCGAACCCCTTTTCTCCTCCGTACAGCAGCATATCTCTCCTTTCTCTAGATAGCAGGCGCCGTGCCGCACAGCCTGTGGTTCGCCGTCCCCATCCTCGCCGGTGCAGAAGAAGATTCCCGGGAATCAAGTATACCGGTAGCTATAGCTAGAGAGCATGGAACGACAGGTCCGGCGGTCACGCACCGCTCACGTCTCACACACCCACGACGGACGGCCCACAGCTTCGCAAGTGCGATTGTTTGTAGATGTGGCTGCATCGCACATCAAATTGGGATGCGACTTTCGTTTGACTCCTATGACCCTTGAAACTGGAACAGCTAGAGCTTTTTCGATACCCACGTGGCGGGGAGTACGAGGTGATGTACGGTATGCACTTAGAGAGCTCGCCGACGCCTTTGAACTTCACGGGTAGCTCTTCACCAATAGTGAAACCAATGCATACATCAACTTTTGCTAGAGCGACAACGGCACTAACATGATCATCACCCTTCTCTATTTGTATTATCTACTCGCACTTATTACCCGTATATCCCTTTATCCCTTATGACGTCCCCGCTATTAATCGTCATTTGACTTTCATTCTCCTTGAAGCCACTACTAGGTAGGTAGTACTACGTATGTACTCTGTACGTAATCGCTGTCGAAGCCTTAAAAAGAGCTGCAAGCCCAAAACACCTAACATTTATGCGTGCTTGGTTTTAGGTGTACTAGTACGATGCTACTGACTGTACGAGCCGGTGCGACTACCGCGCCTTATATGGCTTTTTTTTTTTGTTTTTTTAGGTCTAGGCCTTCCTCCGTCTCCACGCTAGATCCACCGTTCCGCACAGAACTTTTGCGCAAAATAATTTGATAGGTTGTAATATACAGAAGGGAAGTAAGTCCCTAGTCGGATAGAAGAGGCTTTCTTCGAATTACCAATAGTAAGCCCTGGAAGAAAAAGGAGGTGCACTAAACGTGTCCCCTAAGCTTTGGGTCCGGACTGCTTGCTACTACTAGCTACCTACCACTCTGCCTCTCTTTCTCTGCCTTTGCCCCATAGCGAGATCCGACTAGCACAGTCTTTCCAAAGGATTCTACCACAGATATTGTGTGCGCGTACCGTACCTACAACTTCCACGATCCGACCAGCGGACTTTTGATGTCAAAGCCATATGATATCCATATGTCCATATGATATTCATACCAAGGTAGAGAGAGAGGCAAGGTATTCCACCTCTATCGGTACGGATAGGATAGGACAGGATAGGCTTTCAGGCTCTCAGCAGTATCGTCGCGACCCACTTCTCAAGCGAGTCCCCAAAAGGATTTAGCGTCATATCGATTGGCATTTTGGCCTTCATCACCGAATTCTTCTGATCAACCTTGCTTTGCCCACAACCACCCCCGAGCTCGTCCTCGACCGCGACCTCGACCTCGACCGCGACCTCGACCCCGACTTCGACCCCGACCCTGACCTCGATATCCGGGTAACGGCGCCATATTATTTGAGACTCGCACAAATCTTTTCAACGACGACCACGACCACGACAAACCACAACAACGATAACGAGGACAATATAGTATCACTGACGACCCCACGAATCCACGTCTGGCCCAAGGGGGAACGCTGATCTCAAGTACCACTTCTCCTCCCCTCGCTGCCCTCCTCGCCCACATACAGCATCCCTCTCCCCCTTTCAATTATCCCGTACTTCTGTCTCCAGTTGCTGCCCCTTTCTCCCCTCCTCCCCCCCCCCCCCCCCGTCGGAATATCCTCGCCGCAGGATCAGAAGTAGGCGTTGCAGGTGCTCCAGCTGCACGAAGCTTCGTGAAGTTCGGGGCAGGCATTTGAGTCTTGTACAGCGTGCCACTGCCGGCTCCTTGCATACCTCGCAGGACCAGCACCAGCACCAGCACCCGTCGTCTTTCTCTCTCCCTCCTCCTGGTTCCCTGCACGGAACTCTCAAGATGGCTGGACAACAATACGACATGTATGCCGACTACACGCAGAGCCATAACCGGTCACCCGTCTCCAATCGTTATGGCGGCAACCTCTCCCTGAACCGCCAACCTTCGCGACAGTTCGAACAATACAACACTCATCACCTGCAAGGCGGCCTGCTCTACCAGGACGACCACTCCGCGCAATACGACCCATCTCCCCGATTCGACAGGATGCCATCCAACACTTTACACTCATCTAATTATCCATACGAGAATCAGACCTGGAACTATGGGGGGGCAAATGCCGTTGCGAACCCTCTGGGTGGTACGGGTCGGATCAAGGCACAACCACCTCGAAGAGCCGGTCTTCCATCTGTGAGTGGCCTGCAACATGTGCTTTGCAGGTTGCGCTGCTAATCTTATCCAGGGATGGCTCGAACCTCAGATGCACCAAGCCGACAACATGAACAACTACCAAATGAACAACCAGTTCAATATGCACCAGCTCGCCCAGCAACGCGCCTCGCCTCCCCAGGGCGACAACGACGAGTTGATTCCTACTGCAATTGTCATCAAGAACATTCCTTTTGCTGTGAAGAAAGAGCAACTCATCGCGTGTATGACTGATATGCGTCTGCCGCTTCCTTATGCTTTCAACTACCACTTCGATTCGGGTGTATTCAGAGGCTTAGCATTCGCCAACTTCACCAATGCCGAGGAGACCCAAACGGTCATTCAGGCCATGAATCACATGGAGCTGCAGGGGAGAAAGCTCAGGGTCGAATACAAGAAGATGTTGCCGGTTCAGGAGCGTGAGCGAATCGAGAGAGACAAGAGAGAAAAGCGAGGACAATTGCAGGAGCAGCATCAGCCTCTGGCACCGAACCAGGTGCAGAACCCTCTGCATGCGCAGTCATCCATGGCATCTTTGACTTCCTTGAGTTCGGCCAACCATCCCCCTCCAGCATCACCTTCTCCGGTTTCCTTCCGGGGCAAGCTCGGTAATCTCATCCCTACCCAATATTTGGACGCGTTACCATCCAAGCTAACATGGCCAGACCTCGATCTGAACGAGCCGGTAACCCTCGGTTACTACAGCGAATTGATGCTGTTCAAGAATGACCCTAAACGCGAGACGTTAATATTTCCCCCTACAATCATCCCTGCGGACAGACGAACCATCCATACACTTGCACATCACATGGGTCTCGAGCATAGATCCGAGGGACAAGGAGAGTCTAGATGTGTTCAAATCCTCAAGAGAGGTACCGCTCAGATCAGTCCTCCTATCCCCCAGCCATCCAACTACTACACCGAGTCCTCCCGTAGAGGTCTGAACCGTGCCGCGACGATCGACTTCAGCGAAACCCGGGACCGTGAGAGTTCCAGCCACTACCATGCCCTCAATCGTCAAGGCTCCAACCTATTGGACATCCCAGCATCCCCGGGCCTTGGGGGACTCTCTGCGCATAACAACCTGAGAGCGGCCAAGTCATTCGCTGACCTTCGTTCGTACACCCCATCACCTGTGACCTCGACTGCTAGTTTCCCTGCTGGGTTGACCCAAAATATCTCACGGTATGCAGCAGAGTACAGCCAAGGTTCGGCCGCGTCCGGAACCCCCAACCTCACCCCAACGTCTGCGGGAGGCGGTATGAACGGACGCGACGATACTTTCCTGTCGAATGGGATCAGCAACATGACCATTGGATACGATCGTCCGAGCTCAAGCCGACCGAGTGCCACCGGCCGTATCGGCCAAGAACGAGACGCCCATGTTCCAGCCACTGGTGCCATCGGAAGCCAGAGACCTGCCAATAATGGCTGGGAGGATGTTCCCAGAAACGGTGCCGCTGTAGAGAGGCAGCCCCGAGGTCCCGGTGCTGACTGGGGAGCTGGCAGTGGATTCTCAAGAACAAGAACAAATGGCCATATCACTCGGGGTAGTGGTGAGCATGACTTGAGTAGCCTCGACAACGGCTGGGACGATACCAGAGCGCAAGATTCGTCTGATCGGACCGGCGTTCCGCAATCCACCTTGCGATACTTGTAGAATTTTCTCCGCGGAATCTGCGAGGGACTTTTTGACGACGTTACGACGATACACTTTAGATCTGCTGTGCTAACCTTATATTCTCGGCGAATGTTGCCAGTAACATAAAAAGCTGGGTCCTCTTCAGTGTATAGATGCATGCCGACGACTTACGAACCTGTCGGATACATCAGCTCGGATGGAGTTTGACTGTGTCTTGCTTTTTGCACTCGGGCCCTTTTGTCTGCTTGGCGTTTTGCGCTCCTCTGTTCACCTATTGTAATCATCACATCCTCCGTCGGGTCACCAGGACACTCTGTGCAGGCTCGCATCGTTGGACTATCCTCTCGCTTTTTGCATTGTCTTCTGCTGCTACAGTACATATCTACGCGGTGTGATCTTTTCTCGAACCTAAAAACGACGGAACGGACGATAAGATGACTCTCGACTCGGTTTTCGATATCCGATTTCCCGGAAATCAAAGCCTAGCTTTCACGCGATCAAAAAAGCCCACAATAGGATATCCAATACAGCGCCTGGGCAACCAATCACGAATTACGCCGTATGACCTTTATCCTTTACAACGGAATGGGACTCGACCCGACTAATAACTTAAGGGGCTGCCATTGTTAATGCCCTGACGCCTTCACATATAATATCGAGCCTTCCCTATCTGGACGGAAAAAGAAAAAAAAAACGAAATGCGCCTCTTATCTTCGACTCATCTTCTTTCTCGACATGGATTCGATCCCAGCCAACCCTCCTGCCCACTACCTGCGATCGCCATTTGCTTCAATGCTGGGCTTTCGCAGACCCTGTTGTGAGCGTCTTGGGTTGTGATAAGATGGGCCTCGACGAGATTCGATGCGCGAGATTCGATGCGCTTTCCTGTACTCTACCAAACATACTTACGTCATGTTTGTTTATGCGAATGCGACTGTTACTCCTGCGTGCTTTTCTGCTGCGTATGCCTTTTTGTCTTCGATTCTCTCTGCGTACCTTGCGCGGACGTCATCCACCTCTAGGACGCTTTTGGTGTGCTGGAAGTGTGGACATGAAGGAATGAATGGTTGGGGGCTATAAATATGCTGCAGTGGTCTTATTGTGCTTTTAATCCATCACTATTGGGCAACTTCATAATTTGAACGGGGGAAAAGAGAAAGTTTGCGGCGTTTTGGCGGTCATTTGACTTTCTCCGTCTTCTGGATATGGATGGTTATTGACTATGGAGGGGAGGGGAGGGGAGGGGGGAAGGGAGTATTGAACGGAACGTCGCTTAACCTAAAATTAACATCTGTTTGCATCCCCTATCAGCATATCTTGGTCTTTTCGCATTTTACACACCGCGTTTCGGCTTTATTGGGCATCTACGTGGATCTGGATAGGGATTTGTAGAGGTGCATTACTCTCGGCTTCAGGGATGCAGCCACAGTACCTTCCATGCTTTCCAAATCTCAATTACTCTTGCAATGCATGGACCGTCTACCTTCTCTCCAAGAGTCTATACACAATCTAGATCTCCCCATTTCGTAATCTACTGTCCAGCAATGCTACTTGATATTTTCTCTGGGATGGATATGAATTTTTTTTTTATCTCATCATCTTCATCCTCCACCTCCTCCTTCCTCCTCCTTTCTCCTCCGCCTAACCTGACGGGAGGCAAGTGTTAAGTGGATATGATTATAAGTTGACTCTCTCTCTCTCTCTCTCTCTCTGCAGGCGAGGGTTTTAGGGAGAGTAGAGGGAGAGTAGAGGGAGAGTAGAGGGAGGTGAATGCGTACATGTGTGTCTGTGTTTCTGTGATGTGTTTATGGTATATATATATATATATATATATATATATAATAATACTACGTAA